CATCTAAAGGTGACATAGATATTTTATTATGGTATAGTATTTAAATGTATGCCTGAGAAACACATAATTTTGCCCCTTTAAATAGCTAAAACTGAAAAAAGAAACTGAAAAAGGAGCGAAACTGTCGCTTAAATTGCAAAACCGTTAACAGCAGTCACACGACAAACAGAAGAAGAAGACGATGAGACGTTTGGGGGAGATAAGGCGATAATAGTTGGTGGAAATGATTGAAGTGGACTAATTATGATTCACAACACCTCCTCTTCTTCTTTAGGCTTTTACGCCCCAAATATGAACAAAGACTCTTAGAAAAATACGATCCAGCCCACCCAATTATTTTAATTTATTTTGACGTCATCTCCCACTCCTAACGGATGTAATTACAGACTGATATCCCGAGCTCCTTCATGGGGAAAACTGTTTTATCCCGTTTAACAGACCAAGCTGTCATATGCGTCTTAACAGATTTTTGCTGTTTAAGCAGTGTGAGGTCTACTTTTACCTTGAGGTAGCACCAAAAAAAATAAAAAAATAAATAAAAGAAGAGACCCTTTTCACAGACAAAGAGGTAAAGGTTGTGCCTAGATAAAGCTGCGCCTTTTTATCAGTGCCAGCTCCCTGTCAACACACCCAAGCACGGGAGAAAATGAGCCGCAAAGCTGAATTAATTCCGGGGAACTGAAGGCGGATGCTTTTCCTTTGAACGTTGGCGTGTACCTGTACACAAACCCAGCCGATGCCTCCTGTTAGCCGTGCTTTCTCTCCTCTGCCTCTTTCTTTCTAAGCTCATTTACTCAGTGCTCTCTTGGCACGCAGTCAAGGTTCTCATGATGGGCGCACAACACAAACAGCCACAGCCTTGAGACTGCAGATTTCTTGTTAATTAAAAAAAAAGAAAAAAAAACATATTTTCTAAAATCTGCTCCCAGATGGTGGTGAACTGACCTTAAGAGGGACGGTGGGACACAATCACAATGTGAGAGAGGAGGAGTTACAATTAGCAAATCAGATTTTCATCTTTCTATAAATCGTCGCTTTTAGTGCCTCCTCTCTTCTGTCCTCCGACGAAGGATGCGTTTGTTTCCCTTCATTATGAAAGGCTGGCGTGACTTCTTCACTAAAAGATGGATACAAAAGCATCTCCACAATCTCCGTCTCTACTTGAGCACTGTTTCAGACTAAAATTGAAGCAGCGGCAGCATGACTCAGCTGAATGTGGAACACTTTCAGAATGCTAGATTTGAAACAAGGCTCATAGCACCCACCTATCAGTGTGTGTTCGCAGGGGACGCCGTGTTTTCTCTTACGCAACGTGTAACTTTGAGTCCGAACTGGTTTTATTAGATACCGATTAATCTAAAACACTTTATGAGCTGGAATTTAAGTTTGAGTTAAAAACACAAATGCACTCATCTTTGTGCAAAATACCATAAAAATACGTTAATTTATTCAACTGTTAGCTCTGAAATTGACTTTATTAAAATTGATTGATTTTTGTGTTTTTCCTGCTACTTTGAGCTTTTAGTTGCTGCCCTGCTAATTTTAGTGGTTTTGCTCATTTTAGCTGTTATCTACAGTTTTGCCCATTTTAACTTTTACCCATGCACGGTTTTGCTCATTTTAGCATCTGCTGTGCTGGTTTACTGCAAAAATATGTCCATCTTACCACGTTTTAAAATCTTATATCCAGCCAAAAAGTCTTTTTGATCTTGCTTTTAGACTGATTTACTAAACAAGAACTGATTGTGTAAGAATATTAATCTTGTTTTCAGAATGTGT